GCTGTGGGGAAAGTCTAAATATTATATTATTGGATCCATTCATCAACTCTGAACAGCAGATATTATCATTCACATTTTACAGACAGACACTGGAACTCAGAAACACTAAGTGCCTCTCAAAACCTGTAAATTGTGAAACAAACACTTGAACATGGGACTTCTGATTTCATGTCCAGAGTTCCTGTCATTCACCTCCTCTATGTAAATACACCCTATGCTTCTTTTAGAATATCCTCGAACAGAATCTGAATGGGAAAACAGCTTTGCCCTGAAGATGTTCCTCTTCCAGTTTGTCAATTTAAACAGTTCCATTTTCTATATTGCTTTCTTTTTGGGGAGGTAAGTCAACTTTATGTACATTATCATTGCAAAGTAAAAAGCACAGTCAACAGTTCCATTGACAATTAGTTAACAGACATGGCAACTTCTTGTCCCTGGCCTTGGAAGACTGTGCTAGTCAGTCTTCACATGTGTTCTTACTCAAATGACTTTGGACAGCCACTGCCAATTAAAGTTTGTATAAAAAAATAAAACCTACGTGCCATACTTGAGTTGAATTACAACTAACCAATCATCAGTAATGTTTTTTTTTTTTAAAAGAACAAAAGAATTTTCATGTAACTCTGAGTTACAATCTCTTGGTGTGGAAACCTTTTCTATCCATCATTTTAACTTTTTTTTTTCACCTTTGTTGCAAAATATGAAAAAGCAGCATATTAGACTATTGGTTCTGGTTTGCCATATGCTTAATACTCCATCCAGTACCATGGAAATATACTGAAGCTAGAAAGATTTCTAAGCAAACAATTCAGCATATTATTGCAATATTCATTAACTAGGTCAACAAGACATTAAAACTCTACATATGAAAGTGAAAAATGTCATGTAGTTGATTTGTCTTTACTTTCTCAACCCATTGGTATTGAATTCACAAATCACTTTTCTCTTTTTAAGTCAGGTACTTTAATGTTGTCTAAGCATAGCAAAAGTCAACTATTTGGGGACAGATTGCACCAGTAAACGTTATGTCTGCCCACGCATGCACTCATGGTGATCCATTAGTAGATTTTCTTCATCACCCCCACTTAAATGCTAATGAATTAAAATGTATTTTTACAGATTTGTAGGCCACCCAGGAAAGTACAATAAACTATTTGACCGGTGGAGACTGGAGGAAGTAAGTAACCTTGTGTGGTGGGTGCAGGGATGAGCATGGATATGGGCCAATGACTGTGGGAGGAGGGTTCTGGGGAGAGAAGGCAAAATTCAGGGAAGTCTAGACATATTGAAGACACATTTTTCGTAGAGAAGAGTTCTTTTGGGTTCAGAAAAGAAGCAACTACAACTTTCAAAACAGAGAACTAGCTGAGAGGTTAAACCGCAGGATTTTGACCTCAGCTCTTTTGATTTTTCTATTATACTCATTTCTTCCACTCACAAACTCCAGAAAATTTAGCTCCAGTAATTTTCCTGTTTTGGGAAATTATTATAATCTATTGCATAGATTTTCAGCCTTTTAAATATGTTAGGTTTCCTTTTAAGCAAGGAAACTTTAGTCCAAAAGAAATCTTCCTTGAAACACCAACATATAAATATATTAGGTATATCTGCCTGATACTCGTATTTCTTTATTGGTTTACAATATGTATGTCATATGGAAAAACAATGTGTAGGAGTAGTACGTTAAGTTACAGGGTAAGCATATGGTACTGTATATTTCATTCAGATTCAGAAATTGTTTTCCAAATGTCAACTCCTACCTGCAGTGTCTGAGCCTACGTCTTCACACTTTTCCAAGTGAAACATTTTAATTTTTACCAATCTAATACACAAAAAAGGTATCTCCTTTGGATTTTAGTTTCTTCTATTATATGTGAGATAGAGGATATTTTTCATATGTTTTTTGGACATTTTATATTTCTCTCTCTGTGTGNCTCACAAACTCCAGAAAATTTAGCTCCAGTAATTTTCCTGTTTTGGGAAATTATTATAATCCATTGCATAGATTTTCAGCCTTTTAAATATGTTAGGTTTCCTTTAAAGTAAGGAAACTTTAGTCCAAAAGAAATCTTCCTTGAAACACCAACATATAAATATATTAGGTATATCTGCCTGATACTCGTATTTCTTTATTGGTTTACAATATGTATGTCATATGGAAAAATAATGTGTAGGAGTAGTACGTTAAGTTACAGGGTAAGCATATGGTACTGTATATTTCATTCAGATTCAGAAATTGTTTTCCAAATGTCAGCTCCTACCTGCAGTGTCTGAGCCTACTTCTTCACACTTTTCCAAGTGAAACATTTTAATTTTTACCAATCTAATACACAAAAAAAGTATCTCCTTTGGATTTTAGTTTCTTTTATTATGTGTGAGATAGAGGATATTTTTCATATGTTTTTTGGACATTTTATATTTCTCTCTCTGTGTGTATGTATGCTATTTCTGTCCACTCTCAGTAGACTTTTTCTGTCTTATCAATTTATAAACTAATAAAATTAGGCTCTAATTTTTCAAATTTGATGTAGATTTTTTTTCCCATTTTGTTATGTATCTTTCAATTTGGTTTTGATACAATTTTTTATGAAAATGTATGGCATTATCTAACTGAAAGCAATCCTACTTTTGGGATTTGTGTCATGCCAATAGTAAAAAATGTTTCCTCACTTCTAGAAATTTTTTAAAAAATCACTTGTACTTTTTACTAATGTTATTTTGTAAAATACTGACATTTTTGACCAATTAAGAGTTTATTTTGATGTGAGGAGTAATAAAATGTTTTTCCCCAAGTGGAAGCCACACATTTAAGAAAAATGCATTTTTCACTCAGCAAAACAATATTCCAGATTTATCATATTCTACATCTCATAATTGTGTTTATTTCTGGACTCTGTTCTGTCTCATTGGTCAAAATGTCTATTTTTTAACTCAAAATTGTTTTAATTATTCGAATGTAAAATTCAGTGTTAAATATGGTGGCTAAGAAAAGATTCCCCCCAAAAATTGAGGGTAGAGGTATTTCCAGACTCTATGTATAAAGCCCCTCAAAACTTGGGTTATGGGAAAGTGCTCATTAATTTGTCTCCCCAGAGAATTCTAGAAATTGATGTACATAGATAAAGCCTAAAACTTAAAAACTTGTGCTTATGATCAGAAACCTGGGCTCAATTCTTTACCCTTAATTTGACCTGTCTGAATATCTGCTTCCTCATCCTAAATTGTTAATAGCAATATTCAGATTGCCAAGNCCAAAAATTGAGGGTAGAGGTATTTCCAGACTCTATGTATAAAGCCCCTCAAAACTTGGGTAATGGGAAAGTTCTCATTAATTTGTCTCCCCAGAGAATTCTAGAAATTGATTGATGTACATAGATAAAGCCTAAAACTTAAAAACATGTGCTTATGATCAGAAACCTGGGCTCAATTCTTTACCCTTAATTTAACCTGTCTGAATATCTGCTTCCTCATCCTAAATTGTTAATAGCAATATTCAGATTGCCAAGTTGCTTATAGATAAGATAAAATTTACATAACACAATTAGCACAGCCCCTGGACTGTAGTAGGAACTCAACAATTTATAAATTGTTGCTGATATTTATCAATGCTCTGTCTTCACAGCTACCTGGATATTATTCTATTGGCCAAAGCCAGAATAAGACCTTTCATAATCCTGGGGCTGCTTGGAAGTTCCAAAATCCAACTTATAGTTTTCCTTCATGGCCTAGAATTATGATTATATCTGCTAGAAGGCTGATTACCTACCCAGTTTGGTACCCAAGGCTCACTTTTTTCCAGGAGTGTTCAGCTGGAGTTAGCAAGGGGTAGAGTGGGGAACAGAGTGGTTTCAGCCAAGGGGAGCTGCATATTAATACTATTTTAGGGGCTGCAGCCACCAATAATTTTGTTTAATTGGTTATTCTTATTCTTAATTATGAAATTATTGGAAACCATGATTTATATTTTTGAAAGTCTCCAAAAAATAATTATAATAATTGTATCAGGAAAAATGTCTCATAACTATTTTAGGCATTTTCCTAATATATATGAGATATGTGGTGGCCATATTTCTTAACAAAGATCGTTTAAAAAAAAAATCACTGAAATGAATAATGTGGGTTTGTGATATACCCTAGAAATGCTAGAAATGTAGATATAAAAAGATACATAATGGGAGTTAAGAATCAACCTTCTGAATTTGTTTATACAAGAAACATTTATTGACACATATTTGTGTCAGGCCTCTGCTGGGCAATATGAAGGGTACAAATGAAGTTCTTTTCTCTCCTTTGAGGATGTTAATGAATCAACCTTCTGAATTTGTTTATACAAGAAACATTTATTGACACATATTTGTGTCAGTCCTCTGCTGGGCAATATGAAGGGTACAAATGAAGTTCTTTTCTCTCCTTTGAGGATGTTAATAGTCTTGAAAAATAGGCCTTAACTATGAAACATAACAAATAATTTGGTTTTGGAGTCTGACAGTCTACATTCTAATCCTACTCCACCCAGATGCACGATTTTAATATCTACAAATCTCAGATTCTTCTTTCATAAACTGGCGATAAGAATATCTATTTCAATAATATTGGTGATTGATGGATTAAACTGGACTCTGCATGTAAAAATGCCAGACACAATTACACAATTAATGGTAGTCATTATAAAGAAAAAAAGAGTTGTACAATTTGGTTTAGAACATTTATGAACTGGCTATACTGGATTTGTGAATCTCATACTATAGCTGTATAACATCTCACATAAATATTTTGTGTAAATTCAGTTGAAAAAGTTTTTAATAATAGCTAACACTTATTGAGTGCTTACTACATACTACAGCACATTTCAGCAATTGTTTCTAAGTGTTCTACATATGTTATGCATATAACCTATACAGCAACTCTGTTATTATACCCATCTAATGGATGAGGAAACAAAGCCATGAAGAAGTTAAATATTTTGCCTACAAATATACAAACATACTTATAAATGGATGAAGTTATAACTCAAATCTAAGCCCCATAACTTCAGTATCTGTGCTCTGAACACTGCTTTCTAGCCACCATTGGGATAGCATATAGACACAATCAAGAACATAATGGAAATTTACTTTGCTAAGTGATTGCTGTCTGTTTGCTGGTTTATCCATGCAAGTTGAATTTAAAGTTAACATATTAAAATAGGTGGAGAGAAAGAATGTGGATATTGGTGTCTGGTAGTCATGCCTGCCACTTAGCTGGGTCATCTACAAAGTGGGGATACCAACATCCCTGGGCCAGGTTCTTACAAGGAATAAATGAGAAAAATATGTGAAAGCACTCTGTCTTGGCTTGTCCGTGGTCATATGATTTTGAGTGGTGCAGTTAGAATAATACCTGGGTAGGGCCGGCCCCGTGGCGCACTCGGGAGAGTGCAGCAGCGCTCCCACCGCAGGATCGGATCCTATATTGGAATGGCCAGTGCGCTCACTGGCTGAGCGCAGTGCGGGTGACCCCAAGCCAACCAGTCACAAAAAGGACAAAAAAAAAAAAAAAAGAATAATACCTGGGTATTCCGCATAGTCCTCCATGCCCTTGTACATATTCTAAATATGGGCCGTTTTTTACCAAATGAATTTTACAGTATTGAAGGACTGTCTTTATCTCAAGGCCATCATTCTGTGAATGGGGCAGACTCACAAAAACTCCTGGATCCCTTTGTCTTTCCTCTTTCCTATAAACCACAAAATCATCAAAGCTCAATTTAAACAAAATTATAAATGGCCTGTCTTCCAGCCTCTCCATTTTGTGGAGCTTACCCTTTGAGGGAAATGGTCCAACCACATGGTACTATGATCATCTTCTTTTTCCCATCCCACATAATAATATGCTTGTGCTAAACCTGCACTTAAGGCAACAAACACATTTGGTAAATAGAATTTATTCTTAGCATGATGTAAAAGAGCAGTGGATTAGGATGTAGGGGACTAAGTCTTTCATTCTCACAGTGCCAATCAACATTGCATGACCTCGGGCAAGTCAATATGCCTGAGTCTCTATAAAAATGAAGAGCTTCAGCTTGCAGCTGTGATTTACGATCTGCCTCTGTAGCTTAGTAATTATTCTTCCTTAAACATTCCACTGAACCCATGTATTGGATATATGTGGTGGAGTTCAGGGGTTCCTAAATCCACCTTAGAAAGAAGGGACATGCTTGGATGGGAGAATTTAGACCTCTCCACACAGTAAGCACGCTCTCTAGCAAACCCACTCTGGCTCAGATTAAGTTCCTAAATCCACCTTAGAAAGAAGGGACATGCTTGGATGGAAGAATTTAGACCTCTCCACACAGTAAGCACGCTCTCTAGCAAACCCACTCTGGCTCAGATTAGGGAGTCTTAAGTTACTGAGCTGGAACAAGAACAGTGGGCTGTGTCCTAATTATTTGTTGCCTTTGAAGTCCTACTAGTATCTATTTGATAGACATAGAAACTGTGGATCAAAGCTACAGAGAAGACTATCATCATCATAAGCAGAACATGAACCCATTTCTAAAGAAACAAGCCCACGCTTCCCCACTCAAATGTCTGTAATGCAAAGTTTCTAAGCAAAACACATTGGTTGCAATTTTTATTGGAATCACATATTGTTTGTGTGGGTTTCTAATAGCAACTTATTGAAAATCTGAAAAAGCAGAGGAACACAGAGGGAAAATAATGGGATTGTACTGAGAAACTTCTGTGACATGCATTTATAACTTTAAAATACACTATAATATATGTAGACACTCCTGCTCAAGGAGAGGTAGAGGTTAGCCATCTCTCTAGCATTTTGAGAGTGGGCTAATCTTAGTGGCTCACTTCTAAAGAACAGAAGAAAGAAAAAAATGAGTGATATTCCAGTGGAAAAACCTGGAAAACACTACATTAACCAAGAAATGAAGGTTAACACCACCAGTGATGTCATGTGCTTATCATGTAGCCCTGATACAGTATGGTGAAAATGGCTTTTCATTTCTGTAATTTGCCTCCCCAGAACATATAACTCTAGGGTAACCACAAAAAGAAAAAATCAGACAAACCCAGATTAGGGGACATCCCACAGGATACCTATCCAGTAGTCCTCAAAACTGTCAAGATTGTGAGAAATTGTACAGATCAGAGGAGATTGGAGAGACATGAAAAATAAAAATGCAATGGGGTATGCTGATTTGACTCTGGAGCAGAAAGAGGAAAACTGGTGGAAATCCAAATATATTGTAGATTATAGTTCATTGCAATGTGCTAATGTCGGTTTCTTAGCTTTAAAAAATATGCCATGGTAATGTAAAAAGCCATGGCTGGGATTGGGTGAGAAGTGTATGGGAACTCTCTTTACTATCTTTTCAAATTTTCTACAAGTCAAAATTATTGTGAGATTAAAAACGTTATTAAAAAACAATAAATTATAAACATTATGCCACAGAATTATTTTTCTGTTACCTCATTGTTATATTTAAATTTGGGTTGTCTACCTTTTTCTTATTAATTTGTAGAAATTTGTTGTACAAGGGGTCTTCAAAAAGTTCATGGAAAGATTCATGTTATCTTTTTTTTTTTTTTTTAAAGATGACTGGTACAGGGATCTTAACCCTTGACCTGGTGTTATCAGCACCACACTCTCCCAAGTGAGCCATGGGCCGGCCCCATGTTATCTTTCAATTCTACTTTTCCATGAACTTTTTGAAGTACCCTCATATAGTATTTATTACACAGCATTTATTAAATGTCATCATGCCTAACATAGACCTTGGCAGCTAAGTGCTCTTTAAGTTAACTTATTGTTATTGCTGTTATAATTTTGATCAATATTACATTATAATTACTGGAAATTTTCCCATGAAGGTTGACAGACATGCTATTTCTTTCTTGTTTTGCTTTTTTTTATGCATGAGATAATATGGCCTGGTTTTAGAATTTACTGTATACTTTTAAAATTGGATGTTTAAGCGAGCTGGAAAAAAAGAGCAAGATCATCATTGCTCTTATTGTTTTGTTTCAGTGTCATCCTAGTGGCTGTTTGATAGACCTCTGTCTCCAGATGAGTGTTATCATGTTTTTGAAGCAAATATGGAACAACTTTATGGAACTGGGATACCCGTGAGCATGTTATTTTTAAACTTGCTTTATAAATAATTATGAAGAAGAAAGGCAGAGGTAGCATGAATCGTGCTTAGGGAGTTGAGCTTGATAATCAAACAAACAAGGGTTCAGGTATGTAAGTTAATAAACCTTCAGAACCTGTTTTCACATCCCTAAGAAGGGATCAACAGTTAGACCTACCACAGCAACAGCTATAAAGATTGAAGGAAATAACAGGTGTAGAGTTAACTTGTTCAACACATTAAGATACTTGTTGCTATTTTTAAAACATTATTGACAATGTAGGTTCTTGAGGATAAAAGCAGCTTACTGGTTTCTTTTGGCTACCAGCAGACCAAGGTTGCTGTTGCTGTCTAACAAACAGAACCTTAGTTCTTCCCAAAAGAATAAAATAAAGATAAAATCCTGGAAGGGAGGTTTAGGACACTTTGTTACAATTCCCCCCTACTCCACCAAATAATGATAATAATAATTAGAACAAGATTGATTGTGATAACATCAAAACAATAGCATTCTATTTTTGTCCTATTAGATAAGCTTTAACTGTCTGTGAAATGATGACAGAGATGCTGAATACCCACTTTTACATGTATTAAAATATATTTTTCTTCAAAATACAGTGACATATGGGGTATTTAAAACAATGTGGTATTGGAGCTTTGGGGCCTAACCAACCAAAGGTTAAAAACATGACTATTTTTTGAGCAATTTCCTGATTATTTAAGGAAGAAATGGCTAGTTGGTTGATGATATAAATAGCTTAGGCTTAGTCATCAAATTATACTCTCTTTATTTGTTAGACCACAAATTTTATTAGTACATTTCTGAACAGTGGACTGTCTGTGAAGCATTATGCTGAATTACAGGCAGTTTTAGTGATGGGCTGTGGGATTACCCAGATCTGGTTCATATTTCTTCTCTGTTCCTTGCTAATTTTGCTTAAAATTTACTTGACCTCTTTTTTTCATTTGTAAAATAGGGGATTTATGAAGATTAAATGAGATGACCCAGTGGTTTTCAAATCTTCATCATAAATGACAGAACCTTTTTGTGGAGAGATTTTTAATACAGATTCTCAGTATTGGAACAGATTAAAGCAAATCCCTTCTAAATGAGGAGGAAATAGGAAATGGAAGAGTAAAGAGCCCAGTGCACTTGTTCTATCCCTTCCGATCCTTGGCTCACTTCTTTGAAACACAGGGTTTGGGAAACATTATTTGAACGTTCCTGAGTAGATTAGGTGTCAAGGGTTTTAACACAGCATGGGACATGCTGTGAGTACTTCATAAGCACCATCAAGATGTATAGTAGTCATTGAAGTGTTAATAATAATTCTTTTTGTTGTCATTCTCCATGCACTATATATATGCCAGGCACTTCAGATGGAACATGGCTTGCCCAGCTGGTCAGCCTGGATTACATATATCAAATCCTCAGGACACCATGGCAAGGAACGTCCTGTTGGTGTTTTTCCAACAACTAGGCAAAGGCCTGTTGAAAAAAATTTAGCAGGAGTAGACTAGCCATTAAAGCAATGCTTTTCAAACTTCTAAACCACTATTCTCTTTTAAGTAAAACTTAAACAATCAGCCTTGCCTCAGTTCCAACCTCCAGCCTCTGTTTCCTCTTCATGAGGCTCCAGAGGCAACCTCCATGGGACACATATCGAAGCACTGCCTGATGTTTTGGTCTAGCTATGTTTGCCCTTCCTGAAGCTCCAGGTCCATGATTAATTAAAATCAAGAATTGGGTTCTGTTCACTAAGTCCTGTGAGATTCACCTCAGCCTAAAGGTAATTTTCGTCGAACTCTTAAATAATTCATTACCCAGAAGACCATAATATATGCATACCAGGATATTTCTGAGTCACGTAATTTCAAGACTGATCCTGGGCTAGGGAGAGGGTATTGTTACTTCCTTTCTAAGTCTGAGAAAAGGATTTATGGACACATGTCGTCTGCCTGCAATTAGTGTACACTTTATGTACAGAATGTAATTGGTAATACTCAAACTCTTCATTTTTATAAACTCAGACAGGTGAAGTGACTTGCTAAAAATCACACAGCTAATGTGTTGCAGGGCAGGTACTAGAATCTAGGTCTCTTGAAACCCTATCTAGAGCTCAGTTATTTTATGAGAAACATTCTTTTATTTTCTTTCAGAAAACACAGCCCAGAGTGTTTAGGGTTATGAGAAATGAAGGGGGCTCAGACCTAATCACAACAGGCAACATAGGAGTTTTAGTATTTAAATAGGGAGGGGTGAGGGAAGGAATCAGAAATGGATGTTTGTCTAATCAGTAGCAAGGAGCATAGTAGCATACAGAGAATGAATTGTCAGGTAAATATGTAAATGTTTACAGAGTCTAGGAGAGTTCTGGAAGACTGGTTCCTATTCTCCCATTATAATTTTTTTTTTTTAACTTTTAAACTTTTGAAACTTTCAAAGTTTTTAAAACTTTTTAAAAAGTTGAGACCATCAAATATTTGTAATTCCCAGGAATGCTTAGAGTAGCCCAAGGTTAGTTGGTGTTTCTAATTTCTTAACACACATAAATTGTTTACCAGATGCTTGAATAAGAGCTCAAAAGTCCTTGTTCTGCTCTGTGATGTAGGTTGATCCAGAACTGGTGGTCACGACATAAAATCAAGCGTGGAGTACAAGATGCTTCCATACCTCAGTGGGAAAATGATTGGAATCTGCAGCCCATGAACCTTCATGGACTGATGGATGAATACTTAGAAATGGGTAAGGAAAGATCCTTCTGCAGGACTATTTGGCCTTCTTGATATTGTTTTCTCATTTCACATAGGCTTTGGTTCCAGAGAGAAAACCATCTCTCTCCTTTCCAACTTCAGGCACCTTAAAACATACCTGCACCTTTATCTCAACAGAACTATAGGTGTTAAGCAGTACCCTTGGAAACCACACACATTTTATCCTCTAAGAGCCATAACATTTGACAAAAATAAAGGTTTTTATCACAGTGAAGCACCTAGTCTTGGAGCAAATATTTTCAAGAAACAAAATAAAACTGAATCAATTTCTCCATTAAGAAATGTACCATCCCACCCAAATAACACAGTAATTATTTTTCACAGTAAATCTTTACACAGACCCAGTGTGAGTCTTAGCTTCTGTGAAAATCTTACTTCTATTAAGACAAAAAGATTCCCATTTAGACGGGTAGAATCACTGGGTGTTACCTTGACATTTGCTTTTCTCTGGACCTCAGTTGTCTCATTTATATATTAAACAAAAATTTTAAAAGAAATAAAAAAAGATTAGGTCTTTTGGGTCCCTTCCAGAGCCAAGCTTTTTCCTGCAAGGCCTCTTTGCCACTGCCTCCTCCCCCACTCCCTCTGTTCCTTCTTGTCCTAAATAAAAAAAGATTAGGTCTTTTGGGTCCCTTCCAGAGCCAAGCGTTTTCCTGCAAGGCCTCTTTGCCACTGCCTCCTCCCCCACTCCCTCTGTTCCTTCTTGTCCTCCACTTCCTCCTCCCCCTTTTCTTCATGCTGCATTATACATACAGAGGTAGAAAGCACATAGACTTAAAATCCATTCCGATCTGAGTCTGAATGCAAATTTTAACATTTTCCAGCTATCTGCCCTTTAGCAAGTTACTTAACACAAATGAGCTAAAGTCTTCTCAACTGTAGAATGGGATAAGCATATTTACTTTGTAGGGATATTGAATAGATTAAAAGCAATTTATGTAAAACACCTAATTTGGCACAAAGGAGACACTCAATAAATGATACCATTTATCTCACTAATTTTCTAATGCTCTCCTATTACAGTTTTACAATTTGGTTTTACCACCATCTTTGTTGCGGCTTTTCCTCTGGCCCCTCTTTTGGCTTTATTAAACAATATCATTGAAATCAGGCTGGATGCATACAAATTTGTCACCCAGTGGCGGAGGCCTCTGCCAGCCCGAGCAACTGACATAGGTAAGTTTCAGAAATTAATTGGTTTTTGCATTGCTAATGCCATTGGGTGTGCTATGGTTTGAATATGTCCCCCAAAATTCATATGTTGAAACTTCTTTGCCAATGTGATAGTATTAAGAGGTGTGGCCTTTAAGAGGTGATTAAGTCATGAGGGCAGATCCCACATTGATGAGATTAGGGCCCTTCTAAAAGGACTTGTGAGAATGGGCTTATTCTCTTCTGCTCTTCTGCCATGTGAACACACTTTGCCCCCATTTTGCCCTTCTGCCCTCTGCCATATGAGGAAACAGCATTTGCCCATTCCAGAGGACTTAGCAACAGGGCACTATCTTAGAATCAGGGAAAAGGTCTCTCACCAGGGGCTGAACCTGCTGGCACCTTGATCTTGAATTTTGTAGCCTCCAGAATAGTGAGAAATAAATTTCAGTTCTTTATAAATTACCCAGTCTTGGGTATTTTGTTATAGCAGCACACACAGACTGAGACAATATGGCTTGATTTTACTTAGAACCATGTGGGCATCTATTATGAGGGCTCTCCTCCAACAACAAAACTTAACGGTTTTAGTTAACAAAAGAATGAAGTTAGCACTAACTAGTTGAGAGTACATTCATGTTAAACATGCTATTTCATAAACTTGTTTGTAACTAAGAAAGACCTTTTCATGTTAATAAACATATCTATGCCTCATTCTGTATAATTGCTGCACAGATTTCTATTATATTTATATGACAGTTTGTAAAAACGTACTCTAACTAGAGATGTTTAGATTGCTTCAGTACCTTGCTATTATAAACAAAATGGAGGTGAGCCTTTTCATACATACTTTGTCTAATTATTTATTTAAAATAAATTCTTAGAGTGGAATGCCTGTTCCAAGAGCTCGTATATTTAAAATTTGACACATAACTTGTCAGCATGTCCTCTAGAAGTGTAGTGCTTATTCATACTCCCAGGACAAGTGCATGAGTGTACATTTCTGCATTTCCTCAACAACTCTAGGTGTAATATGTTAGTGTTATTATTATTATTATTATTGATGTTTTTATTGTTCTATCCTTGACAATCTGAGAAGGAAAAAAATGATACCTTCTTATATTTACATTCATTTTTATAACTACAAGATTATATATTTGTATTTCTTTTTTGCAAATTGTGTTCATGCCCTTCGGTCATTACAACTTATTTGGTAATCTCTGTCTCCGTATTGGTAATATTAACCTTGATGTATATGTTGCAAACATTTTTCAAATAGTGGTTTTTAATTTATTCATTTTATCATGAATAAGGTTTTAATTCCTTTCTATTATTCTTTGTGGCATTCTTAGAAAATCCCTTTAGCTTTCATGATTTTTTTACCCCTCGTCTTCATTGTTTTGTCTTTTAGATGTGTCTGTGTTATTCTGTTTTTGTGTATTTGTTTGTTTGTTGTTTGTTGTCATTTTATGATTTTGTTTGAATTGTTAATCCATCTGAAATTTCTTGTTGATGAATTTGAGATCCAACCTTTTTCCCCAAAACCATTTATTAAGTAATCCAATTTTTAAAATGGATTTGAATCCTCTCTGTTATCTTGTGCTCAATTCTATATAAACTTAAATATATTTCTAGAATCCATTTGTCCTATTGATCAAATCTACTTATAATGCATACTGCTTTAATAAATTGTAGTTTTGAAATAGAAAATCCAAGTATGTTGGAAGGCATTTCACACTTTTCCTTCTCTTTGGGGGGGAATTTTCTAGCTAATACTGCAAGGTTACCTTTTTATTTAATTTTGCCCATTTATGGGCCGGCCCGGTGGCTCACTCGGGAGAGTGCGGTGCTGATGGCACCAAGGCCCCGGGTTCGGATCCCATATAGGGATGGCCGGTTCGCTCACTGGCTGGGCATGGTGCTGACAACACCAAGTCGGGTGTTAGGATCCCCTTACCGGTCATTTTTTTAAAAAAAAGAAAAAAAAAATTTTGCCCATTTATATATTCCAAAACCACCAAAGTCTGTTTAAAGTATACTAATCTGTAGAGACTGAATACTATGTAATGTGAGTTCTCATTTTTTGAGGCAACTAAAATCGCTGCTGACCTCTAATTTTGGTATATTTATTGATTTCATTATTAAAATAATATAAGTACATTAAAGAAAATCTAGAAAAATAAACCAAAGAACAAAAAATTTTTCCTATTCCAGCTTTAGCTTTTATTTTACCTTCCAATAGATAATTATTTTTTAAAACTTTACTGGATTTTACTTTGCTCAAGCCATACAACGCAAATGTATATAAATATTTAAAACACACACACACACACACAGTTAATAATTCTTTCCCTCTTTACTTTTTCTTTCTACCTCAGGAAATCAATTTTATCAAGTGGGCATGTACCCTTTGTCAATGTTTTTCTTGCTCATACAAACATACAGAAAGATATTTCTGCACGTATGTAGCATACCGCATTGTTTTTTCTTCATGGACATCCTCCGGCTTAAAATATATTAGTCTAATTTATTTTGAATAGTAATATTCATTATATGGATGTGCCATAAATTTTATGTTCATTTACTTATTTTATTTCCCCACTACAAGCAGGAATAAATATACATAAATATAGGTATACATATAAATATAGACTTAGATATTATATACATTATATATCACACCTCCAGATATGTGTATGTGTGTTGTGTACAATGTATCTGTAGTATAGATTCCAATAAGTAGGCTTACTGAATTAAAATATATGCATATTTTAACTTTAAAAGATATTAGATTAATTACCAAAAATGTTGGAACAAATCATACTTCCAACAACAATGTAAAAAAGTTTGCTTCCACAATCCTTACATAGTACTAGATGTTATAAGACTTTCAAATCTTTGACAATCTGTGGGATAAAAAGAAAGTCTTATTTTTTGAAGGGCACTTCTCTCAATACTAGTGATTGAAACTTTTAAATATATTTATTGGTTATTTTCATTTCCATAGCAAATTGTTCATTTTTATTCTCTGTCCATTTTTTTCTTGAGTTGTTTATCTTACTAAAATTTTAGGATTATTTTGTATATTAGATATATTACTTTTTATTTTTTTAAATTAAATATTTTCTCCCAGAGTGTTTTCTTGTGACTTTTGTAAAAATAAATGTTTAATTTTGATGTTCTCAATTATTTTTATGAATTCTGATTTCTTCTCTTATGATCTCCCCTATCAGGTAAACTTTACCATCTATTTTTTTTTTTTTTTGCTTTAATCACAACTCAAAGTAGCCACATTACAAAGATTTTGAAAAACAAAGTGGCAAAAAAGAAAGTTGTCATGCTATCCAATCACCTTTAGAAGTTCGGAGTATTTTTTTCCCAGACTATTTTTTTCTCATCAATATTTTTAAAGCTAAGTTTAATTCTCCTTGAAACATCAACTTTGACTATAGCCAATACTGTATTGATCCTATATACAACGTCAAAAGCTTCTTTTTGTCTTTATATGATGCCAGATTGACCTCCTAAGAGTAACCAGTAATTTACAGGTCTTGATACCAAACTAGTTTGACTTTTTTGTAATTTTGCTTTAAAAAGATACTTGACAAAAATAAAAGCAAAATCCATAGTGAATGCAGACGTTTTAGAGTGTGTATGACCACATAGAACTTGAAATTTTTTATTTGTTGTTTTTAATGCCTGAAAAAGTTGTATCCATTAGGCTTTGAAAGATCTTGGACACCTGTGCATCATCTCATCATTGCAGACATGAGCCAGGTCCGAATGACATTTCAATTTTCAAATCTTTCTAGATGGGGTCTATTTTCCCTTTGTGGAGAAGTGTATTCAATAGTTATAATATGTGGAATGAGATACCATATTAAATAAGTAAATAATGGGCAGAGCTGGGGTTCCAACATACATAAAACTTTATTTTCAATGTAGGATTGACTAGAAGGTTTTTATTTTTCATTTTTATTCATTATCTTTAATCTTTCTTCTACCAGGTATCTGGCTTGGAATTCTTGAAGGAATTGGTATATTATCTGTGATCACCAATGCGTTTGTAATTGCTATTACATCTGATTACATCCCACGTTTTGTCTATGAATACAGATACGGTCCCTGTGCAAATAGTGCAGAACACAGTGACAAGTAAGGTTGAAATTTACATTTTTTCCTAATATATTTTGTGTTTGTCATTAAAATGGGAACTTATCAGGAAGTTCTGTTCTGTGACCATTAAGGGTAAAATTTTTGATCCTTGCAATTACAATATGTTTATTGGATAAAATCAAGGAAGATAAAAAGAGCAACTGTGCTTTTTATAGCAAATGATTTTAGAGTTTCTTTATGTTTTATTTGGAAATAAATCACTGGTATCAAAATGTTAAAAACATTATAATGTATTTAGAAGTCAAATTCTAGAACTGGAAGAGACCTTGGAAACCAGCTAATGCAATCTTCTTACTATATAGATGGGGAAATTGAAACCCACTCTGGTTAATCAAATTGCTGAAGGGAACAAAGGTAGATTGTGGGGAAATACAGAACATGAAAGAACTCTTGGCTATGTGACTAGAGTCTCTCAAAAGGAATTTACAACCAAGGGTTTTAAGGGTGCAGAAAATTTTGCTTTAGACCTGTCTCCCATGAATTTTCTGTTAAAATTTAAATCCACACTTTAGAACAAGATTTCTCAGCCTCTGCACTATTGATATTTTAGACCATATAATTCTATTTTTGAGGGGGGAAGGGGGGTGTCTTGTGCAGTGTAGGATGTTTAGCAGCATCCTTGGCCTTTACCCAGTAGATACTAATAGCAGCCTTCCTATTCCCCAACTTGTGACAGCCAAAAGTATCTCTAGACAGTGCAGAGTTCCCCCAGAGGACAAAATCACCTAGTATAGAACTACTGCTTTAGGTGATATGGGTCTTTTCACATCTTTTTTTTTATTGAAAGAAGATACTAGGGAAGAATGCAAGAGAGTACTGGATTTGGAAGACAGAGAGGAACTGGAGCCACTTAAGAAAGAACTGTAGCTGGATATCAGCCCTAGGTGTGGAAGCAGTAATGGGAGATGCAGTAGCGATAGGAGAAGCTGCTTCTCCTTCCTTCAGGAGCAGCTTTGCACATGCGGCTGATCTGCATGCAGGACATGTACCACAACAGGAAGCACCCTGGAGGAGGATCAAATCAACTCTGCTGACGAACTGATGTTTTCTCAGAACACTGAATTACCTTTGGGGACATAAATGTCTCCATTTTTCAAAGAGTAGTAATAAAGGCATGGGTATTATTTCATTTTATACTTTATATTTTGGAGTCTTGTCAAGGGATTTTAACTTGGAGTCAGACTCCTTATGTTCAGGTTCTCACTTTGCCTTCTACTGAAAGGCATATCATCAATCTAAACCTAGCTGATTCATAGCAAAAAGTGTTCTTAGGTCTTATGATTGAAAAATAGTGTCTGAGATAACAAACTGCAAAACACTGTGTAAATAAGGTGGTTTTAGTATTAACAGTGAAAAACTCAAAAGGTCTCTTTTCTTAATCCAAAATGGTCTAAAAGCAGATTCATTTATTTATGTTTTTATTGTATAGATATATGACGTAAGTTTGCTGATTTAAGCATTTTTAAACATATAGTTGTGTGGAATTAATTACATTAACAATGCTGTGTGACCACCACCTCTATCTATTTCCAAAACTTTTTCATCATCCTAAATGTAAAGTCTGTGCCCATTAAGCAATAATTTCTCATTAGTCCTCCTTCCCAGTTTCTGGTAACCTCTGATCTACTTCTGTTTCTGAAATTTGCTTTTTCCTTTCAATATTTTTTTCTTAATTGAACCAAAATAATTGTATATATTTATGAAGCATAATATGATATTTGGGAACATTTATATGGTGTGCAGTGATCATATCAGAGTAATTAGCATCTCTATCACCTCAAACATTTGTCACTTCTTTGTGTTGGGAACATTAAAAATCCTCTCAGCTAGCTGCTTGAAGTTATACAGTAATCTGTTGTTGACTATAGTCTCCCTATATTGCTATAGAACACTAGATCTTACTCTTCTTATCTCTCTCTACAATTTTATATTCATTGATCATTCTCTTCCCATCTCCCCCCTTCCCCTTACCAGTCTCTAGTAACCACTATTCTACTCTCTACTTCTATGAGGTCAACTTTTTTAGCTTCCACATTCAAGTTCTGAAAACATGCGGTATTTCTCTTTCTGTGCCTGGCTTATTTTACTTAATTTTCTCCAAGCTTATCCATGTTGCTGCAAACAGTAGAATTTTATTTTTTATGACTGAGTAGTATTCTACTGTATTCCACACACACCACATTTTCTTTATCTAATCATTCACTGATGGACATTTAGGTTGGTTCCATGTCTTGGCTGTTTTGAGCAGAGCCATGATAAACGTGGGAGTACAGGTATGCCTTCGAAGTATTGACTTCCTTTCTTTTAAGATATATACCCAGCAAGGTAGAATTTTATTTTTTTATGGCTGAGTAGTATTCTACTGTATTCCACACACACCACATTTTCTTTATCTAATCGTTCACTGATAGACATTTAGGTTGGTTCCATGTCTTGGCTGTTTTGAGCAGAGCCATGATAAACATGGGAGTACAGGTATGCCTTCGAAGTATTGACTTCCTTTCTTTTAAGATATATACCCAGCAAATGGATTGCTGGATTCTATGATAGTTCTGTCTGTAGTTTTTTTTGAGAAACCTCCATACAGTTTTCCATAATAGCTGTACTAATTTATACTCCCACCAACAGTGTATAAGAGTTCCCCTTTCTCCACATCTTCACCAGCTTTTGTTAATATGGGTGATGTTTTAAAAATCAAGGAAATGGAATCAATTGTCATGCCTAATATTATTACAATTTAAAATAATACAACTATTACACAATAAACAGAACCAATAATACTGGAACTCTATTTTATATACACTAGTGCAGTGATTATCAAACTTTTTCTCTGGACCCTCTTAAAAATATGAAAATATTTTCTCCCATTCTGCAGGCTATTGTTTCCTTTGCTGTGAAGAAAGGTCTTTTAGTTTGATATAATCCCACTTGTTTATTTCTGCTATTTTTGCCTGTGCCTTTGAGGTCTTATTTATAGAATCTTTGCCCAATCCTATGTTCTGGAGCATTTCCCCTGTACTTTTTTCTAGAAGTTTTATAGACTAAGTCTTTAATCCATTTCGAGTTTATTTTTATATATGGTGAGAGATAGGGGTCTGTTTTAATTCTTCTGCATATGGATCTTAAACTTTCCCAGCACCATTCATTGAACTAGAAGCAGATTTTAAGCGTTAAAAATAAATAGGTTTATTTGGCTATCCCCTTCCTTAGAAACATTATTTGCCAGTGTCTTTACTGCCACCTAGTGTCACATAAAAATGAGATTGGCTCAGTATCTGCTCTGTTCATATTTCGGGACCTGCCTTTCATGTAGACAGCACCTGACTCCTTCAGTGACTAGGGATGTAGACTAATTGCAAGCAAATGTGGAGTATTTATGTGACAATGACATCACACATTCATTCAGAGAAGCACCCTGTTGTTTAATTTTGTTTGTCCAGGTATGCTTAGCAGCTAAATTGGATTAGATTCATTCAGATTGGAAATTTTCATAGCAAGGTGGCAGAAGGGCAAGATGGCAGTGGAGAGGAGGATGTTGGCAAGAAAGTAGTTGAAATGATATGTTGTGGGGTCCAGGATAGACAGATAAGAGAGTGAAGCCAGTGTGGCCTTGTAATTAAGGTTTTTAGTTTTAGAATGAGATAGACATCTGTTTGCATCCAGGTTCTAACAACGGTTTGTCCTAGGGCAATGGTTCTTAACATGTGGTCTGCACATCTCCTTCATGAGCTCAATACTAGTTTCATAATACTATCCAGTGTGGCCTTGTAATTAAGGTTTTTAGTTTTAGAATGAGATAGACATCTGTTTGCATCCAGGTTCTAACAACGGTTTGTCCTAGGGCAGTGGTTCTTAACATGTGGTCTGCACATCTCCTTCATGAGCTCAATACTAGTTTCATAATACTAAGACATTATTCGCATTTTTCACATAGTAATATTCGAACTAATGATTCAAAAACAGTGGTTGATAATATTTCTGATGGCTTTGCATAACTTAAAGCACTGGCACCAAACAATGTTAGTAATGATTGTATTCCCCACCACTATTTAACTACCATAAAAAATGCCAGTAAGAAATTCTGAGTGTCCTCGATGGAGTAGTAATAATTATTAATTTTATGAAATCTCCAGTCTTGAATAAATGTATTTTCAATATTCTATGTGACAAAATGGGAAGTGTGCATACAGCACTTCTGCTGCATACCAAAGTGGGACGGCTGTCTCAAAGAAAAGCACTTGTGTCATTGTTGAAGCTGCAACTGAGCCGACTTTTTTCCAACATGAAATAATGTTTGCCAGACAAACTATGATTATTCAGACTTGGGTATTTAGTAGCCACTCTTTTATTCAATGCACAAAACTAGCCTGTCATTTAAGGAAAATAATTGACAGTATTTGTTGCCATTGACAATTAGAATTTTGGGTAATTTTTATCTGGCACAGTGAGTTGAAAGCTTCCCAGTACCCACAGATTTTTTTTTTCTGATAAAAATAAATGGTGATATTAACAATTGTGACTTTTTCACGGTCTATAGTAAAAGTATGTCAACATTTGAAAGATCTGCATAATTCAGTGAGCAAATATTTTTCAAATGAGTCATATGTGATGTTACACAACATGCATGGATAAGAGATAAATTTAAAAGACAAGACAGACATAAGTTTTGATGTAACAGCTTGAAAAGTTTATTTACATGGTTTAAGATTACACATTGCATCTGAACTTTAAGAAACTTGCACATGTAGAGCTTTGGTGGAACAACAACAAAAAATATCTGCAATTATCTAAAATGCTATTAAAATAGTCCTTTTTTCAACTACTTATCTATATGAAGCCAGATTTTCTACTTACTCTTCAACCAAAACAACATATTGCAACAGATTTAATATAGAATCAGCTATATGAGAATCTAGCTGTCTTCTGTTAAAACAGACTTGAAGGGATTTACGAACATATAAAACAATACCATTCTTTTCACTACATTCTTTTCTTTCAGAAAATATAGCTATTTTCCTTAAAAATTTGTCATTCATACTAAATACAAATGGATATTTTAGTTATTAAACAAATTAATAGAAAAATATTTTCTCCATTCCTCACTTTCTAATATGTTAAAATGATAATAGAGAAACTCCAAGGAAAAAGCTCTTTCAAATCCTCAATTCCTTTTAAATATGTAAAGGGGTCTTGAAACCAAAAATTTTGAGGATTAGAGGCCTAGAAAAAGTTACTTAGTCTCTCTAAACCTTACTTCTTTTGTTTATATGATGGAGATAATAATATATATGTTTTTAAGGTTGTTGTAAAAATTAACCCTGACTCCAACCATTCCGTGAATTTATCTGAAACTCTAAACAATTGATCCTGCTAACGCATCCCCATCCCCCTTTCTTTTAACGTCTTCTGTTCTATCCTTACACGCCTTACAAACCTTCTCCCACTTTGTTACACTGCCTTGGCAGAATCACATCCTTGGTTCTCCAAACTCTTGGTCAGCTCTGCACTGTACCCCTGCAGCTATATGTGGATAAGAAGATAAACAACCACACTGACTAATTTCACTTTAAATTTGTATCACACACCTGTGTGGGCCTGGCAAACATTTTATTTCATTAGTCCACTTGCTCTTGTACTTTGTTAGAGAAGTTTGTCCTCCTGTTTACTTGCTCCTCAAGCTTTCAGCACCTCCTTCCTTACTCTTATCTATCTTGCTTCCTGCTTAACTAGTAAAATTGAATCAAGTAGAAAAGAACCTCCACAGAAGTCCATTGTCACATCTCCCTACCTTCAGCATGCATCCCGTACGGAGTCTGCCCTCTTTCTCTATTGATATGATCACATAATTTCCTCCTTTTGTTCCATTAATGTAATGAATTTTACTGATCAATTTTCATGTAATAGGAAAAAACCTTGCATCACGAGAATTAACTCCACTTAGTCATGCGATTCACTTCGGGCCTGCGGAGTTTTGAAATTTATCTTTCCACCCCACACACCTTCAAAACATTGAGAGAGTAACTGGCTGTGTGTTAATGTCAGGTCTCCTCCCTCTAGCAGGACTTGACTTTCTAGCATAAAATGGCAGGACAAGACTTTCTCTTGTAAATGCCGTGAGACTCTGGAAGACTTCATTCTGCCTTCTGGAAGCTTCAAGTTCACCCGCACTTCCACCCCTAGCTTCTCAGGCTACAGAGTACTGAGCAAATATCTCATGAGAAAAACATCCAGGCATTTGGGGCTTCTCCATTTCCAATGTGTCACCTCATCCCCGGGCAGTTGGCAAAGCTTTTGGGTTTCTCTTCTGCCTGGTAGAGCCCCTCCACCTTGCAGAGCCCAGTCCTTAGTACTCACCCAGATTTGATGGCAAATGCCCCCAGGAGAGGAAAAGAATTGGTAATTGCCAATTTACCTAGGAAGGACTTTTCTCTCTCTGAACTTTCATTCATCTAGTTCTTCCACATTTTTAACATGATTTTTGTTACTGCAGTAGTGTTGACCTACTATAGCCCATCTGCAAGAACTACTCCAGTTTTATTTTTATAGCACTTCTTACCTTTTAACATTTTATACACTTTACTTATTAATTATTTTTTCTGTGTCTATCTCTTCCCACCCCCACTGGAATATACACTTCTCAAGGATAGGGATTTTTACTTGTTTTGTGCACTGTTGAATACCAAGCATCAAGAATTTTCTTAACAAATTGTAGGTCCTCAATAAATGTATTGAATAAGATAATAAATAAATAATAAATAATGTTTATTAACTGACTGCTTAATCATAGTTAACTGAATAGTGTTATATGCATGTATGTTTATAAAACATATATTTACAAAGTTTTAATGCATGGGAATTATTTAGCAAAATGTCTACTGAATAGTAACTTCTTAATAAATATAAACCAACTGAAAGGGCAAAATGGGAATTATTGGGAGAAGATGGCAGGACAAGATTCTGTCTCACTAAGATACAAGTACAGATATGATGAGTGCCAGGGAATGGAATAAAGAGAGCTGAGTTGCTAGGAGTGTATAGTTAGAATGGGGGAGAAGATGGCAGGACAAGATTCTGTCTCACTAAGATACAAGTACAGATTTGATGAGTGCCAGGGAATGGAATAAAGAGAGCTGAGTTGCTAGGAGTGTATAGTTAGAATGGAAGAAATAAGGGCATTATAAAATTCTGTCATTTGTAATGAAGGAATCGGCCTAGAAATTTATGCATCTCTGAATCACTTGATACTTCTCTTTTCTTCCAGTTGCTTGCAGGGATATGTCAACAATAGCTTATCCTTCTTTGACCTGAGTGAGCTTGGTGTGGGAAAATCTGGCTATTGCAGGTATTTACTTATAACACATAGTTATCTTTCTCGCTTGCTTTCACCATTCCATCTTCTTCCCTCTACGTGTTAATGAGCCAATTTAAAAGGACATTTTGGAGTTTTGGCAAATCAAGAAAATTTGAGGTTTCTGCACTTTTATCTCTATTCTTCATACTCTTTGTTTTTGTGGTTTTCAGGTACCGAGACTACAGAACCCCCCCTTGGAGTTCCAAACCCTATGAGTTCACCTTACAATACTGGCATATCCTTGCTGCTCGATTGGCCTTCATTATTGTGTTTGAGGTTAGTCACAGACTGAGAAGATATTTGCTATAGGTGAATGCGTTTCCAACTGACAGCAGTTGCCTCTTTAAAGTCAGTTTCTTAGTGACTTCCAAAAAAGGACTTGAGTAGGTCCCAGAAAAAAGCTCAGATATGATGAAACCATTATAACAAGTGCAAAAATGAAAGAAATAACTAATGTAAGGATCTAAGTTGGTAAGTATTTATACCAGGAAATTAGGGTAAAAGAAATGACTGCACAGTTGAACTGAAAACTTTTGAGCCTCCTAGTAGCCAGCCAAGTTTAAATAGGAAAAGACGGCTTTCATCATCTGATAAAAGAATCTATATCTGTTTATCAGGATTTTAAAAACTGAGTTTCTGAACATCCAACTTTAATTACAATTGATCACGTGTATTTGTATAATATCTGATATTGGAGAAGTCAATAAATTATACTTGAAATCACTTTTATTAAAAATGCATAGACTTTGATTATCAGAGTAATGCAGTAATATTAGATTGTAATCTTGTAAAAAAATTTTGGACATGTTACATTATTAACATATTCAAGGGTTTCTCAGGAGTATATACCCAGGTGTGGAATTGTTAATGTGCGTACTCAGTTTCACATGATGCTGACAGATTGTTCTCCAAAAGGACTGCAGCTGTTTACACTGAGTGGATGAGGTCTCCCATTCCCATGCATTTTCGCTGGACTTTCAAATTATCTGACTTTCTAGTATTTTGCAGTTGGATAAAGAATAATATTTTGGTTTTTTTGTTTGTTTTAATTCGTTTATCAATGATGTTGACCGTCACTTCTAGTACTAGAAAGCCATTTCAATTTCCTTTTTCGTAAATTCATATCTTTGATCCATTTTTGGTTGTTCCCAGTGTATTTGTTAGCAAACGTCCTTATGTACTTTATGTATTAGTCCTTCACCCATTATAAACAAAGTAAATATCTTTTTCTTGTCCATAACCTATTAATGTTATATATAAACAAATGATGTTTAATTTTGATGTGATTAACTCTGTGATTGTTTTTCCTTTTGGCTTTTATTTTGTTTTGCTTATTTAAGAAATTTTCCCATGTGAAGTTCAAAAATATTCAACTACATTTTTTTACTATTAATTTTATAGTTTTGTCATTCTCATGTCTTTCAGATATCTAAAGTTTATATACAACCTGAAGGAAAAGCTTATTTTTTTTTTGTTCTCCATTCAACAGATAATTTTTGTAATGCTATTTACTAAATAGTCTGTTCTTTCACCATTGATTTGTAATTTCACTTCTATAGTATTTCAGGTTCTTTTATATTCATGGGGGTATCCCTGGCTTCCATACTCTGACCATTACTCTATTTCTCTGTTCCTAGATTTATATCACACTGTTTAAATGCCATGGCTTTGTGATGTATCTTAATATATGATAAAGCAAACCACATTTTACCCTTGACATATTTATTCTTATTTTTTCAAAATTTCTTTAGCTACTTGGAATTACTTATTCATATAAATTTTAGAATCTATTTTTTAGGTTCCCCAAATATCATGGAAGGGTTTAGGTTAAATTTATATTAGTAAAAATCATGAGAAAATTTTGGCTTAGTTACAAAAACTGTGCTATTTCATTAGTGAACATGGAATTTATTCAAATTATTGTTATATCCTTTAATAGTGTTTTAAAATATTCTCGTGCTTATTCATTCCTTTCAAAGTTAATTTCTATAAACTTTGTATTCTTTCTGTCTGTTAAATCTGTTGGACTTTATTTGCAAATGATAATACCATTTGCAAAACTTGCAAATAATGACAGATTTGCTTTTTCACTTGTAAAATTTATACCTTTTTTTTCCCTTATTGTGCTAAAAATTATAGTATGATGTTGGACAGCAGTGATGTGAACAACCATATCATATTTCCAGCTTTAATGGAAATGCTTCTAATTTTTGTTGATTAAGTATCATATTTTAAACTCTATCAGCTTAAGAAAATTTTCTTCTGTTACTGGTTATTTATGAGTGTCTTGATAAATGAGTATTAAACTTTAACAAATGCTTTTTAAAAAATACTTAAAAAAAATGTTGAACCATCCTTTCATACCAACTCTATATGAATCAGTTTATAGCATCATTTATTACCATCCTATAGGATTTGGAGCATATCCCTTTTTACTAATTTAAATTATAACAAGTGTTTGAATTTTTATTCCTATACTCTTGACATACATTCCTAAATATTTCTGTGAAAATCAAATATTTGGTTAGGAAAAAATACTCCTGATTTTCTGCTTTTATATGGAGAATATGACCTGCTTTGTTATGATCTACTTTGCAATGCAGTTTTGGGGGACATATGTAGCAAGACCAACTAAAAATGCCTTGAATTCTTCCTTTCCACATAGAAAGACTATTTTCTACTAAAACTCCTTTAGGTAAATGTGTTCTTTACCACAGATCATGCTAACTCTATCAGTATTAGATTTTTTTTTCCTTTTCTGAGAAATTAAAAGTTCTACCTTCTTCATAGGAAAAAGAAAAGGATGCATTTATAATAAGAGGAAGTAATATTTAAGCAGTGTTTACACTATGACAAACACTCCTTTAAGCTGTTCATATATGTATGTATTCATTTAATTCTCATTACTAACCTTTAAGAAGTACTATTATTATCGCCATTTTAGGGATGAGACACAAAATATGGGTGATTTGCCTAAGGTTACACAACTAATGAATGTCAGAGTAGGATTCAGACTCAAGCAGTCTCATTTACCATCTGTACTTTAATAACAGGCACGTTGCCTTTTGAGTTTTGTTCCTGATTTTTTTTAATAGAATACTTTTGTAAGTTTATTTTTAACGTATAAGTAATATATTTTTATCACAGAAAAACTATGTGATAGAAACAATTCTCAGTTTCTTCCTGATATTTATGTGATAAAAGGCCAGAGTAGTATTTCAATGTAATTTTTGAAAATATTAATATTCTAAATGGTCTGATGCTTGATTTTAAGGCAAATGCAACATTGTTCATGAATGTTCTGCTTTATAATTAGCATTTCAGAATTTTGAACACTGTACTTTCTACTCTTAAATTTGCAGCACCTTGTCTTTGGGATTAAATCATTCATCGCATACCTGATTCCAGATGTACCAAAGGGCCTATATAACCGAATACGACGGGAGAAGTACCTAGTCCAAGAAATGATGTATGAGGCCGAATTAGAACATTTGCAACAAGAACGGAGGAAAAGTGGTCAACCTGTTCATCATGAATGGCCTTAGTTGATACTTGTTACCCAGAAGGGGCAGTACCATTAGTGGGAAGGAATAATAGCAACTTCAAATTCTGGGCAATATCTAGAAGGAAGGCATACCTGGCAAACCACATGTATCATATGCTACTTGGAAAGGTAGCACAGCCATCTCTGGGATTTGGAATATCCTGGCTTCTAGGGAAGAAAAAGATGACTCATGACCTTAAAAAGGGTTAGATTGACATTGCAGGAAGCCAGGATCTAATTCTCAGAACCAGCCTCAGGGAGTTGTGTGTTTGGAGACCTCACCTTCCAGCAGTTACAGTGTAATATGAATGGTGGTAGTGTGGACTTTAGAGACAGATTTCCATGTAAATGTTCACAAGCCAGGCATGACTTAAAGTATCATGTGGTCTTCACTCACATATTAATCTGAATTTGGAACCTTTGGTTGAATTGAGATGCTTGCAAGAAATGACTTAAATCAGTTATTGCCTTTGTTGCCAGAACTCCATGTCCCTTCAGCTTCCGGGGTGGTAGAAAATGCCCTTGTCTCTTTCTGAGACTATGGGTCTGTGCCACAGGGAATTTATGCTGCTTCACATTGACTATGCAGTTGATGAATTGCACATCACTTTTAGTAGTCAAACCAAAAATCTAAGATTCCAAAAATAATACCATTCATTAAAATAATATTCTATTGTATTGACTACATTTAAGTCTGTTTTATCACTGGCAGAGCCAGTTGCACTGCACATTTTTGGTACTAAATGCCAATAGAGCCACATACTTATAAAATATGAATGGTTATTCTTATATATCATTTAGAACATGACTAATCCATACTTTACTGTGGAAGGCTGTTTTATAGTACATTTAATTTTTCCTTCTTTGATTTATTACAGCTCTCACAAGAATGTTAACTTACAATGCTGTAAATATGTTGGTTTTCCTTGTATCTTTGCACCTTGACAATAAGTAATACAAGTTACAGTTTATGCAGCTCTAAGACCATTTATACAGTATGCTATTGTAATATGTTTATTCAGGAAAACTGAAGCCAGATGCTCTGCAACACTTAACGCTTTTTCAAAAATGTGCACTTTTACTCATGAGCTAATGAAAATAATGCATGAATATAAATCTATATTATTTGTTAAAAAACACAAACACACACTTTTTTGAGTTTTACTTTTTCTTCATCACTGAAGGGAGTTTTCTGCTATCATTATTTCTTCAATAGATTGATTTGGTTTATTTTTAAAAACCATAGAAACAAATTCAAATTAATTGTGAAAGACATAATTTTGCTTTGCTGTGGAATTCCTCTTTCAGTGTCAACTCTGTATCTGTGAGTGTCACTATTCACAGACGAAGCAGGAATGATGGGGCATTCAACTAAAGAAAGTGCAGAGAAGACAGAAGCTGTGTGGGGAACATGGAAAGAAAGAGAAGGGGAATGTATAGTAAAAATCAAGACACTTTTCCTGGCAAAATAAGGAAATCCTAGTTTTCCTCCTTTGGGAATGGGGTCTGGAATCACACATAAACACATATACATGATTATGATGATTATTATTATTTTTCCAATAATTTTTGCCTAATTCATCAAAGCACAGTTATTTGCAAAATTTAAAATACCAAATTAAGCACAGTGGAAATAAATCTACTTTGCATGTATGCCAGTGTTTCTCTAGAAGGAAAATTATAAAGTTTCTCTTAAAATTTTTATAATTGTAACACTGAAAGTGTTTTGTTACCTTTCCCTCTTTCTTTCCAGGGAAAAGCTGATGATAGATTATTGTTCTTTCATTGTTTTTATCAAAAATATTCACGTCCCTACTTGCCCTCTGATTCTGAGCAAGGAGAAAGACCTCAGACTCTAAATTTCCCTCACATGCCACTCAGATTACCATAGAGGTTCTTTCTGCCCCCTTCTTATTCATAGCAACTAATTCTACTAACTACACCAAGGAGTGTCCCTACTTGCCCTCTGATTCTGAGCAAGGAGAAAGACCTCAGACTCTAAATTTCCCTCACATGCCACTCAGATTACCACAGAGGTTCTTTCTGCCCCCTTCTTATTCATAGCAACTAATTCTACTAACTACACCAAGGAGTTTTAAACACCATCATTTTGTAGCATTTGCGTTTTCTTTCCCTTGTTACTTAAATGTATACACATGCCTGAGTATAAATACTCTCTGTGCCTATAAATGACATAAATAAACCTTACCTTTATGTCTTTTCCAAATTAGGGACACAAGACAGAGACATTTGCCTTACAGTAAAGAATAATGACAGCTGTGTCCGTGAGAATTCTTTTCTTTCCAAGTTTTTATGTAGCCCCAACAGGGTTTAAAATCATATTGATTGAATAGAGAGAAAAATATAAAAAGAGAAAGATTTTTTAATAACAAGTTGTAATACGTTGATTTAGAAAATGCCTTCTGTGATATTTTTGAAACAGATGTAAAAAAAAAAAATAGAGAAACAAAAAAACTGTTCTTTGGTGAAACAGTGCAGTAGAATCTAGCTATGCCGTCGTAAGTGTTGACAGTAAAATATTGACAGCCCCTCACAGTATGTTAGTTTTAGAACACTCGGCTTTAGTTAAGAGAAATATTTTATATTATGGTTTTTCATATGAATACAAATTATTTCTCAAAGATTTATAGCACACACTACTCTCAGGAATTCTGTATTACATGAATGCTGCTTATATATTTTCATATTCTAACTTGTCTTTTCAAGCAAATAACTAATATATATATGCGCATGCAGTCTGCCTTTACAAGTTGTTCAAAGCTGAAGAGTTTTCACAGTACAGTGTGTGGAACATTACTCTAGATCGTAGCTGAAACAGCTTGCAATTGTGTGAGTCTGTGCACGCACTTTTAGATTCAATGCTGCTGAGTGACTGCATGATGAGATACAACTTCTGAATGCTGCATATTTTTCTGAAATGACTTAGCACAATCTATTGTACAATGGAATGAATAGAAAACTTTTTCACTCAATAAATTATCATTTGATTTGGTATTTTTCCTATAAATTGCATGATAAATTTAATTCTGCTTGTTTTTTAAATATTAAATTGGGATTTGTTGAGTATGGGAAGGGAGGGGGGATTGCTTATTCTTTAGCTTTACAGGCAACAGTTTCTTATTATTGCAGACTCTTACTCCAGTCTTAAATAGTTTTCACTATTTATCTTCTGATAAGATCTTCGTTGTCATCAAAACATTTGCACATTAAAGAACTGATGGGATATCACACAGATACTAATAATGCTTTGTGCAGGAAACAGATGGTGATGAAGCTTGATAAGTTCTCGTGAGAATAACAATGTTTCTGTAACACATAAGCACTTTCTTTTTTTCACACTTGTATTGGCCCTACTGATCACCATTAAAATCTCCATGGGACAGGAACTTTAGCACAGATATAGTGCATGCCTAGGAGTGAGAACATGTAGAGGCTCCAGGACTAATTGCCCATTTTTTTTTTCTTTTGACTTAATAGTCAAAACTGAAAATCCAGGTTGCCTACAGAGTTCCTTAGCTGATAAGGCTGGACTGACTTTTCTGTCAATTGCAGGCAGACAAACATAGGCCTAGAGGGCGTGAGTGTGTGTGTGTGTTCATGCACCTGCACACACTCACATTGTTATCATACTTTTTGTGTAAGAATCAGTGAGCACTTATTGTGAGATATGCCCAACTCAGTCCTACGATGGTCATCAGATATTTCCACTCCATTTTCCCCCAAATCACAGTATTATGATGGGATGGTTTTAGGTTTTATCCAAGGAATCAGTTAACATCTTATCTCATTCATAGTATTCTTTGCAGCTAAGAAGAAAACCCTTTAGGAATGGCCCGAAAACTCCAGTTTCTAATGGAAAGTCAAGCTTTTCCATGCAAGCAATAGAAATATGCCAAAAATACATAGTCCAAAAGGAGAGAAATTAATTGGGCTTTACCATAAACTATTGATCAGCCCAGGTTCCTACTAGCCAAGATTTATGTCTTTGTAGTGGTGATAAGTTACCTTCATCTAAACTTGCCATTTGAATTCATCTGAAATACCCACACCCATGACCACATTTGATGGCTTTCTTTCTAGAGAACACAATTGTTATAGCCACTGTGTCCTAGCTACATCTACATTAAGGCATCTTTTTCAGAAAAGTAGAGTAAAAGCAGACAGGTTGGTAGAGAAGAGTCTACGGGCCCAGATCCAATCTCTGACATTATTAAAATCTACCCTCAGAAAGAAGTCTATAAATCCAGTCTTACTGCTTTGTGTTTGTACCAGTGTGTGTTTCTGCACAATTCTCCCTAAAGAAAGCCTGACATTCTTAGGGAGGGGTGAGGGCTGGAGAAGAATTACAACTAGCTAAATCTATCATCTGTGTACTTCATAGTTCTTTTCTGTTTCACCACATAATAAATACAGATTCCCATCTGCTCGCCACCTGAAGCTTAGATTTTTGTGTGTTTGCTCAATTAGGAAGAAGGGGAAATCTTTATATCTATATTAACCTCTAAAAGCTCTTGACGTGTTATCTCCTAATGCATAGATATTTTTTAAACAAGAGAAGGCAGACCTATTTTATAATAATCATAATATCTTCTAGTTGTGTGACATTTTATGCTTTTGATAATACTCCAGGTTAAAGAACTAGGGAGTAAAACAGAAAAGAATTCTTAAAAACTCTCTGGGAAAAGTACTAATCTGGTGATATGTCTTTAGGATAATTTGTGGGTAAAATTGGTGAGTCAAATGAAAAACTATATAGTATATTTTATTTTTGTGTAATTCCAAGTGAAAGGTCACAGTTTTGAACTGTATTCCAAACAATAAATATGTGTGTGTATCTATACAAAAAATCTGTTATAGAGATATATAATTTAAGAATCTAATTCATAGAAATGTCCTAACTACTAAATCATTTGAAAAATAATTGAACTTTGCAATTTGTAAATCCTTAGATTAACAGCTGAATTAGCCTTGCTAGACCTCAAAATATGTTTCCAGAATTTCTGCTCCTTCTCATTTTCAGCTAATTCTCCAAATGTACCCCCTTTTTACTTCTTTCCTTCTTTTCCCAAATGTATTTTTTTTTCATCTCTCTTATAACCCAAACTCGATTCTTTCTCTCCTTCTGTTCTCTCCTATTTGAGAGTTGAGGGAGAGAAGGCAAGCATGGGGCTTTGGATTAAGAACTCGTTTGTTTATTTTAATTCCTCTATTGATTTTTTTCCTCTATCTTCTGTCTTTAACAATAAATACTGGTAATGTAATTTTTCCCTATCTCATGCTTCTGTTAAGGCTTTCTCCACCTAGGTAACATTTAAGCAGCACAGCCTTTGGGACTCATAGCTTTGACTGTTTGGACCATTTCTTCTTGCTTTGCTGATGTACCATTCTAGGCCTCTTGCTCTTACCTGGCCACCAAAATAAATATCTGACACCTGTCCTAATACACCTGACTCCCAGACGTAGGTGTGTTGCCAGTTATCTTTCCTGCAGTCTAGTCTCTGTGGCATTGGTTCTTTCTATCACCTTTTCAGAATTTGATTTCTTTGCTTCTTCCAAAAAGCTTTCACTGCCACTTCATTTGTCAGTACATTACCTCTTGCTCCAGAACATTAAAAGTCATTTCCTAGAGTTTAACTATTAAGATCTTTACTGCTGTCATCTTAGACTGATGGAGTGAGTTTGTACATGTGAGCTGAATGAGCCATGTGTACATCCTGTGGACAAAATGTTTGGCAACAAAAAAGACCCTATGGCTAATCACATCTCCTATGAAATGGTAAGCTATTTGCAAGGATTTTTTACACAGTGCTATCCTAACAGCCTTCTACTGGATATCCCTTTCCTTTTTATCTGGCCCTGGAGAAAGACTCCAAACTTCTTGTTCAGCACTGAGTCAATTTTTTGCTGGAAGTTGATAGAAAAGAATAAGAAATACTGCACTGACAGCACAAATGGAAGAGGATATTTAGTTATAATTGCTACCACTACCCAGACATACCAGTCTCTCTTGCTGAGCTTAGTAGAATTACATATAATGTTCGGTCAGGACAGCTATAGTACTAGGAATGACTGGAAAAGGACTCAGAGGTTGCACTGGGAAGATGTTAATAGTAATTAAGTGTTCCAAATTCAGCTGCAGGGTTGGGGAGCAAGGCATGGAATGTATCAATGTATATGTGAGGTATGAGGTTGGAGGGTGGATGTCACACCCTTGTTTTATCAGCAGTGGCAGAGAATAATTTCACATGCATATTCCCCTTCCCCCTTTAAAGAAGTCCAAGATATTTTTAATTCATTCATTTATTTTTAAAATGACATGTATTGATTGTACATATTTATGGGGCTCAGAGCTATAATTCAATACATGTATACAATGTTGGATGATCAAATCAGAGTAATTACCATATTCATCATTGTAAAAATTTATCATTTCTTTGTAATGAGAGCATTTGTGCTCCTCTCTTCTAGCCATTTGAGAACACACAATAAGTTACTGTTACAGATGCCTAGCACTACTGTAGACTAGTAGAACTTATTTTTCCTATCTAGCTGTGATTTTGCATCTATTAAACTTTTCTTCCTATGCCCCTCCCCTCTCCCCTTCCCAGCCTCTAGTAACCATAATTTTACTCTCTACTTCTACAAGCTCAACTGTTTTTTATCTTCCACATGTGCAAAAGAGCATGTAGTATTTATCTTTCTGTACGTGATTTATTTCACTTAACGTAATGTCTTCCAGGCTCATCCATGTTGCCACAAATGACAGGATTTCATTCCTTCTTATGGCTGAGTAGTATTCTATTATGTGTACATACCATATTGTCTTCATTCATTCCTATGGAGATGGACACCCAGGTTGATTCCATTATCTTGACTATGATAAATAGTGCTGCAATAAGCATGAAGTTGCAGATATCT